TCTGCTGAATTATGTTGATTAAGAATCCAAATAATTAAATGATACAAAAAATAAAGTATATTTTTTAAATAGCTTGATTTATGAAATATCAAATACTTAACCCATCAGAAGTTAGAGCTGCTTATAAATCAGCTTAGATTTATAAAAATAATTGTTAATATCCTTAATTCAGAACTCCATTTCTCTTAATCTACCTAACTTTCTAAGTAAATTTGCAAGGATCTATTGTTGTAAAGCTGCAGGAATTAGTTAATTTTTAAAGATGCAAACAATTAAGCACTTTAATTTAGAATAAAGTCTAATCATTTTTATCATTATACATTTTTTGTGGTAATATTTTTATTTCATTCATTGTCTCATAGTTGGGATAGCAAAGATGATGTCTTGAAGATTTTCTTTTGAAATTTTAGTAGATAATCCTCTCTTTCTTCAAGGATTTATTTTCGTAATATATTTGAAGAATATTAAAGTAAAAAAGAGTATGGAATTTCTTCTTTTTCTTTGGTTTCAAGATATTCTTGTCTTTTTTGATTATATGAATTATAAATAGATACCCAAATACTCACAAATCAGCTGAATAAAAATTGAAGGGATACTCTTTTTTGAAAGATTGCAGTTGTAATTTTCCCATATCGACTCAACATAAGCATTATTATCGAACTTCTCAGTTTTTTTGAAAAATATAATTATAATGAAAACTATAAAATAAAATAATGATGATCCCATTATTAACAATGGTTGATCTACACCCAACATTTTTAACATAGAGCAAATCTAAGGACATGAAGGATAACCATTATAAGTTGGTGTTCCATAGTAACATGTATATATTAATTTTATTTAGGTTCTGTACATAAACTACAGGAAGGATAACAAATTATTTAGTAAACATTGAATATATGTTTCTAATTGAAATCTAGCATTTGAATTTATATTTTCAATTACAAATTAAAAATCCATAAATATTAAAAGGTTTTGTAAAATTAACTGACTTGATATCATATAAAAAATCACCCAAAGTTAACTATTTAGTGGAATTGGGTCTATTTAGATTGTAAAATTCTTCTAAGTTAATCTATTAGTAAATCCCAAATATATTTAAATTGTACAATTTCGATTGAGAAATTAAAAAATAGAATTATCATCATTTTTAGTTTATCGTACTTTTAGTTCTACAGTCATTTTGAAAAGTCTTAATGATGCTACTAAAAATCATTTTGTAGGCATGATTCTTCTTCTTCTAACTAAGATTTAATTATTTTTATTCTTTTTTGAATTTAG